AGCCCACAAAACTGGTAGGAACAATTGAAGACGAGGCGATTCTTCCCATTATGGCTAACTAGGTGATGAGGTATGTACCACGATTCACCGGTCATCGAGATCTCATTGGGGCATAGCTTCTTGACTGCTCTGGATTGTACCAGCTGATGTATTGCCTCACAGTAAGCTTTGGCACGCTGAGGGTCCTTAGCCAATCGCTTCTCTGTACTCCTCAAGCTCGGCAGAACGGCCTCTTTGGATGCCTGGAACAGGGGCATATCCCGTTTTCATAGCAACGGAGTAGCATACCTGAGAATGCCAGCGACGTCTACTCTCCTAGTCTTTCCTTCCAAGAGCTCCATTGCCTCCTTGTCTTGCTTCGATCTGACAACCAACTTGTCACTCCGGAATGGCAGCACATCTATTTGCCAAAGCTTCTCAACATTCCTCATCAACTCTGTAGTCTGTGATGGAACACTGGTAAGAAGACACTGTTGTGCGCATGGTGCCCATTGGATGAGTTGGGCAGGCCCCTGAAGTGTCCAACCTAGTCTTGTACGGATCGCCGCCGGCCCTCCTGGTGGACCCAACCTCACTGGCTCGATGGGGGTAAGCAGATGGGGTGATCCGCTCCTATCAATACAAGTGGCTTGGCATGCTCGAATGCTTTGATAGGGAGGCCTGCCAGATGCTTATTTCTTCTTCAACATGGAGATGGGATATGAGTGATCCGCCAAGCTGAGACGCTGTGATGTGAACGCCTCTGTAATCCGAAAGCTTCTTCTGGGATGTGCAAGGGGTGAGATGCAGAAGGAGACGGATGTTCCCTTCAATGTTTGGACATCCTGCCATATTGTGCGAAGGACAAGATCCTCTTGTCTGCCTTGCAATCCAAGTCGGTCAATAGCTTCTGGGAGGAGCATAGTGCGTTCCGATCCATCGTCTAATACTGCGTAAGTGTCAAGAGTACGATCTTTATTCCGAAGAAGCACTCTCACAACCTTTAATAGCACACGACTTGAAGCTGATGGCCGGTCCAGGTAAAGGACCTCACTACTAGTGTTCACCAGACAACTCTCTTCTTTGGGTGGCTCTGCAGCTGGACAGATGTTCACATTATGGAGGACTCTCAAGTGCTTTCCTTGACACAGGTCACAGAGTCTTTTGAGGTCACATTGTGTTGCTTGGTGGGACCTCCCACATCTCCAGCATCTCTTATTCACCTTGATCCACTCTATAACTTTTTCCCTTGTGAGCTTCTGTATGGCTGTACACTTATTCAGAAAGTGTTCTGAACTCTCGCATTATGGGCAGTATGGCTTTATCTTGCCTTGCCTTTTGGACTCTGAGGGGCTCTGACCCTCTCGCTTCACAGCCTTACTTTCTGCAGAGCTCTCTGCCCCATGTAGCACTGTAGCCGCTGGTCTACTGATTCGCCTCTCAGCTTTGTGGCTCAAAGACCCTAGGACTCGGGTGTTGGATGGGATGTCGTAACCCTGACACCACGACTCATACTGGAGCCACTCTGCCAAGTCAAGCAGTGTATGTGTAGAGCCAGGTCGCTGATACATCTGGCGGCGGAAATTTGCCCTCAACTCCGGCAGAAGTTTCGTGAGCAGCCGTGTAACATGCGAGCAGCATCTTAGCTCTGCTTCTCCATCCGGGCCTAGGGTTTTCAACATGCCCACTAGCGACTGAACCTGCAAAGCAAACCTCTCAAAGGCTGCTCTATCTCCTCGCCTTATCTCTGGTCAGTCCATGACAGCAGCAATCTTCTTTAAGGCGATGTGATGTGGCTGCCCAAACTTCTCATTCAATGCGACCATTGTATCGGAGTATGGCATTGGCGAATTAATGTATGAATCAGCTATAAGGACAGCCTCCTCCAACCTCAGATGGTCCACAAGAACCTGATATTTGAAAAGCTCACTGGCATCCCTTGGCAACAGATTCGTTAGGGCCAGCTTCAGTCTGGAGAATTCCATGGGGTCCCTATGGATGAAGAGGGGGATTTTCGGTGTTGGCCCACGGTATTCCTTCTCTTCCATTGTAGCTAATGAGGGCTGATATGGTAATTCTCGGGAGGAGGTACGCTGACTCATGTGAGGCCCTGGTAAGCGTTTAAACGAAGGCCCAGATTCAACCCAGTCCATGCCAGTAGGACAGCTCGTGACTGGTGAGTAATACTGTGACCAGTCGGAGTATCGTGTAGCTTCCTAACGGGTGGTCTCTTAGGGGTTGAAGACGGACGACTTTGTGTAACTGAGCTGGCCACAGCACTCTCTCTCATTAGCTGGAGTTCATTCATCATTCTGTCTATGATGGTGACCATCTCTCTCTCCTCACCCTTTGCAGGCATTGACACTGGTTCAGTAGAGGGCCATGGTGGAGGTGGTAGCCAGTCATCATACTCATCTTCTTCCTTTCGTGTTGGAAAGCCATCCTTTATAGGAGGGGGTGGTACTGGCCACAGTTCTTTTCTTGCCTTTTCCAGTGTCTTAACTGAGGCTGCAAGAGAATGAATTTCCCTCTCTACACCCCAAAGCTGTGCAGGGCTACTCTGCATATTTTCTGTGGATCTGCGTGATGATGTGTCCTCTCTATACATCTCATACCGCTCATTCCTGCCCTCTGCATAGGGTGTAGGAGTATCTATCCACTCTGCGCGTAGCCCAGTTGAATGTGCATCGTAGCTAGGAGAGAACTCTTCATTGTGCTCACTAATATCTGAATCCCACTGCACCTGACGAGGAAGCCTTGAGGTATGTGCACTTTCCACTGGCCTCATCATAGCTGCTCCCTCAAGGTGAGTGCTCCAGCCCTCTTGCCCATTCATATGCTGTAACAAACTTGTGCGAGGTAAGACTCGTGTCTGTTGTCTCCGTGGACCAACCTCATAATCCTCAAGATATTGTGCCGGTCTCCGTTGCCGCTTTGGTCGAGTTGATGGGACCCAGGATGCTTCACCGCTTTGTTGCATGTTCACGGAACATCTACGAATCCGGCTCGAAGGACCAAATGTAGCTGAGGGGCTAAGGACTGTAAGGTGCTAGCTATTGCTAAGTAGGTGGAGTTGATCCGCGTGTGCCGGTTAGAACACCAAAGCTAGAGAAGGAATCGAGTTCAACCGATTTATTGTTACAGGCATATGCAGAGGGGGAGCCAGGTTATAGCAAAGTGCATTATCCAGTTCTCAGATTGTGCACATATTATAGATGAGCATTAATACTGATGCAGAGCAGTATCGTCTTGAACCTTATATCCTTTGACGGGTCAACATATACTCAGGTATGTGGGTGTGGTCTGCAACAAACAAATAAAGATATATTCTAACAAACAATGATTCTTATTATTACAATCCACAACATTTATTGTTAATAAATAACAATTTGGTCCCTCGATATCTCTTTTTGCCACCGTGAAATCTTCTCAGTCTCCTTTTCCGGTAAGGCTGCAGTTGCAGCCTCACCCTCAGTGGTCGCACTTCCTGTTTCAACAGTCAGAGAATAGACAGAAGGAAACATGAGTTGCAGAGAATTATTCTGAAATGTAATATGAGCACCCAATTTATGCAGCAAATCTCTACCCAAAAGGCAAAATGGAGCATCAGGTATTATTGCAAAAGAGCATCAGGTTATCTTAAAGAAGGATTGTCTTTAGAAGTTACTAAAGTTGGTGTCATTTCACAACGTACAGGGACACCTAAAATTCCCACAGAGTTAATAGTTTTCCTCGGGAGGCTTCAAAAGCCCCCGCGGTGGAAAGCTCACGCAGTCTCCGAGACAAAGCGTCAACAGAAATATCTGTTATATTCGAAGTTGTCAAACGAACCAATTGTGCGATTTCTGTTTGCATGTTATTCAAAAACATATTGACAAACAAAGGAGAATGTTCATCTAATGGAACGGCAGATTCTTCAGTCAAATCGATTGAAAAATGCAACAGGATTTTCGCCCGCTTTCTGTTTTGTGTTTGCAGTGAGAGTCAGTGGGTTTAATCAGTGACATTAACAGATTTACTATTCGCCGTCTTCTCCGCGACCTCATTCCCTTGGTGTTTTTACACACAGAAAAGGCGAAAAACATATAGCATTGTCCAGTTTTCTCTCAGAACGATGATCTGAGTTACTATTGCAATTATCGATGCAGTATGAATGACATACACCGGGTACATTTTTCACAATCACGACAAACAATCAAATACTGCCCTAAACTCAATAGCGGAAAGGCAGCGCTATCCTGCAAATATGGCGGATAAACAAGAACTCAACGCGGCGTTACGTCACATTCTCATTCTTTATACAGGCGCTGTGAAGCACTCCACAGAATTAAACGGTATTTTGCCAAAATAAAAGTCCCCGCGATAGAGAAAAGAGCACTTCTGTGCGTCTGCATTAATGAGCCTTTTGCACAATGTATATGTGTGTATGTATGTGTATATATATATATATATATATATATATATATATAT